TGGCTATCATTCCTCCATCAATCACGAATCAAACTACGCTGATGATCGTGACTGTAAAATCTCATTGAGGGGCTGTTCTAGCGCCTTACACAGTCAGTGAGTCAATGAATTGTTAATTTGCAGCTTCCTATTGAATAATAGAGTCGAGAGAAATTTCCACCAGACGAACTTTATTGGAGATGACTCAGAGATCCAAGAGATCATCATATATCGAGTCGCGCTGATCAGCGAGCTCACTATATCGTGGTGGCGAGTCTCGTAAATATTCGAGATTTGCTCGCGAGCAAGGTACTTAATCACCGTCGACGGCGCTTCAAGTGAGTTCCTTAAACGTCCGTGCCCTAATTTTTAACTGACTCCATTGATCCCTGAAACACTTCCCCCTATCATAGCCAAGATTCAGTAATTTTGCATTTGGCGAAGTCCAGCTTCTCAGCTTCGCCGTTTAACCTACCGAATCTTCGCAATTTGTCACAAATCCGACGTGCATAGGTCTTACGTTGTGGTTTACACCTCATGATCATTATCTTTCTCTTCCTTCGAGCTCAAGCTTACTCAGGCTAATGCACCCTTCATTATGACCCCGAGGACCCACGAGGTGCACCAGAAGGCGATCGGCTGCAATCCCCGCCGGCGTATCACATCACATTGCATCCATCCATATCCACGCAATGCCAGCGCCCACGACGCCAGTACTAGTTCAAGGCATTCTGGGTCTGTGTCGTTGGCATCTACCAGTTTAAAATCCCCAAACGAGGTCGAAAGGTGTTCAGCTGAGGCTGGCAGTACCAACGTCGTGAAAAGGCTGCTGAAGGATTTTAGTGCGACCGAACAACTCGCCATCCCTTGGGCAAAGAGGCAGGCGATTATGAACCCCGTGACAATAACGGGCTGGCTCCGCAATATAACGCAGCAGGAAAAGAAGAAAGTATCAGCTTCATATCTCTAGACGAGGTCAAAGATTCAATATGGCCGTGCGTGGTTTGCAGCTACTCATTTATGGTCAGCATTTAACTAATCGTCATCATCTCTATCTAGTTTTCTCAGAGTTCAAGCTCACCAAGTGCGATCGGTTCCGTCCTGGTCACGATTAGCTCAAATCGGCGTTCGCAGGATCGCTTGGACTCGATCTATTGCGTATGCTGGTTGTTGACATCATCCATGAGTGGAACTGGGCATTTGGGAGGCTCTATCTACCAACTGGCGAGGATTCCATGCCCTTCCTAGGGGCCCGCGCAGTTGGCCAAACAGGATCACAGGCGCCATGTGTTGCGGGTGGCTGAAGAAGAGACCGTACTCTGCCGCAGGTCCTCCCCCTCCCTCCACCTTTTACCCGTTTTCTAATATGATGGGTGCAGATTGATTGGACAGTTCTGAGTCAGCATGAATTTGCGATTGATGGAGGAATGCATGAAGCAACTCATGACAGCCCATGACGTGTTCTGGAATGAACTAGCAGCCGGGTATCGGAAACGAAGGTCGCCGCCCTTGTCAATGACGTCATGCTGACAAAGTTCTTAAGGGAGAGCAGCAGCCGGGTATCGGAAACGAAGGTCGCCGCCCTTGTCAATGACGTCATGCTGGCAAAGTTCTTAAGGGGGGGTATGACACTCACCGGTATTGGGCCTGCGCGCTGGCTATATGCCATGCGGAAATTTGGGCCGGCGATAGGGGCAACCTGTGAAGCATCACCTGGGTTAGGTGGCTGGCTCCACCGAGGGCACGCTTTGAAGGAGAGCTGGACGACTGGGAGGCACACAATGTTGGGATGTGAGTGCAGCCATTGGCTCTTGTAATGGCGCTTCTCATCCTTTAAACCAGATTCGTGGATCGGGATATGTTTATGCACACTCAGTTAGGCATAGGGTATCCAGTAACATGCGCAGGATGGCTAGGGACTCCCTGGGGAGTGAACCATTGGGCGATGTTGTTGGTGCAGCAGGCAGTGGCAACCTCGAGGCGGATACGGGCAGTAACCGTGACGGTTATGGGGGGTGGTGATGAAGAAGAGGTAACTGAATTGTCACTTATTGCGGCCATGTCTTCGCAGATGAAGAGAAAAACTCATAATTCTCAATCGCAGGATATACACCGTCCAAACCGGCACTGCACATCGGACCCCGATTCAATCCCCTATCCGTTACTAACGGCCAGGTCTCATATGGAATTGTCAACCTATCAAAATTTGGCGTCCCCCTTGACAAGTCTCGCTCCGAAGCTATGTAGACGTCCTGTCGCAACACCGCATGAGCCCAACGGGCACGTTCCGTTACCCGATAACCGCCCGGTTGAACGGCGGTCATTCGGTAAGACCACTGCAAACCATAACGTCCGAAGCAAGCTAACTATCCATTAGGTTAGAACACCTCCACGCTCAGTGCATGGGCCCTCAATTCAATCCTCAGTCAGTTGCTTAGTCTTACTGATCTACGAAGACTCACCACCCTGCCCTTCGCCTCTCAACCCTTCACATCATGACTCGGCCCAACGGCACACAGGACCCCCTCAACGCCAACGAGGAGTGGGCACAAAGTATAATCAAAGATAATCCCTATTTCTTTAGGACTCGGCCACCATGCCGCAGAACTCCAAGGTGTGCCTTGTGCCTTGTCGCACACCCCTCCGTTGTTAGCCACGTTTTCTTACTGTCATTTAGGTCCTTCAGATTGGCTGCTCTGACTCGCGAGTGCCGGCCTCCATCGTCACAACGTCCATGCCTGGCACTATCTTTGTACACACGAATACCGTCAAGCACGTATCAACCATTCATCGGACTCCTCGAGCACATTACGGTCATTATCCCTGCAGCCAATTACACATCTTCGACGACAACGCTCACTCCGTCCTGGCATATGTTGTCAAAGAGGTCGGCGTCGAACACGCTCAGCCTCTTATGATTATCATGGTAACGCTTCGATCGCCCCTCTAACGGGCATACGCTACAGTTGGCCTCGTCGGTCACGGCGTCTGCAGAGGTGCCAAGGAGCCGCCGCCCAGCACAACTTGCCTCACCCCAACCCACTCATACATTGGTTGACCTCCCTTACCCAACTCGTTCGAACCCTCGACCACTCAGGTCATCCAAAACTCATGCTGCCTATGTAGAGAAATATGGCAGGAACGTCCGTATAAGAGGGCTTGGTCCTGTGAGTAACTCTTCTTTAAATCACGAAACTCGCGAACAACTGTTCGATGCAGTGGGACGAATGCCTTCTCACCCTTTACCCATGTTTCTGTAGCACACATGTACTACAGAAGCATAATCTACGAAAAACCGTGGTAATCTCGAAGAATTATCACGAGCCTCATTGGTTGTGGTATGCCAGCTGCAGAGGGTCATGTTCATAAGCGTCAACGGCGCGTTGCCACTCCTGCATTTTCCATTCAGAATATGCGAGCACTTGTGCCTCTTGTCTTTAGCAAAGGAGAGGAGCTCAAAGATAAATGGATAGATACGATTCAGGAAGCGAAGGAAGACCAGGCAGCCTCGGACAAGCAGAACTCCGGCCGTTTTGGAATAGACGTCTGTCACTGGATCAGCCGAGCGACCTTCGACGTAATTGGGTTAGCAGGTAACTCATGTTGGGTCGTGCATCCATCCTTACCTGACCATCACGTATCACCCACAGGCTTTGACCACCACTTCAACGCTATACAGAACGAGTCGGACGAGCTCTTTGCTGCGTATTGTCCGAGGTTGCTGTCTCGCAGGGAGATGGGGTTAGGACAGTTCTGGGGATTTACTTTCCAATCCTGAAATAGCCTTTTCGTACGTTTAAATCAATTTACTCATGAATGTAATCCTGGCTGAGCTTGCAATGCAGCCCGATAAGAGGGCCAAGACCGTCCACAGATGCCAAGAAACTATTCGCCGCGTAGCAGGAAAGCTAGAGCAGCAGGAGAAATCCAGGATTTTGGATGGAGAGAAGAGCGGTTCCTCATATGTTGCGTGAGTCAACTGTCATTTCTTTCTGTCGGTTGGCTGACAAATTCTTAGTGAAATCCAATATTGCGACAGACCTCCCACCAGATCAGCGAATTTCCAACGAAGATATATTGCACAACATCAATACCTTCATGTTCGCAGGGTCTGATACGACATCTCTCGCTCTGACGTGGACGTTTCTGCTCCTTGCAAGACATCCAGGCTTGCAGACTCGTCTTCGTACGGAACCTCTCTCTATCGTACCGACTACCCCGATATCGCGACTGTCACCTGAAGAAATCGAGTCTTTACACAACACCTTGCAGAACTTGCCATATCTGAACAACATTTGTCGGGAGTCCTTGCGTCTGATCCCTCCAGTCCATTCTTCCCTCCGGGTTGCAACACAAGTTGACGAGATACCTGTACCATATTATGTTCGTTTGAGCGACGGCACGGTCTCGGAGCAATCTCTAACACTAAAATTCGTACAGACACGCGCACAATCTTGCAGAATGCTATAATCTCCTCTGACTTCTGAAAATACAGGGTAAACAAGAAAACTATCATTGATAAGACACAGCGGACTCGCCTTAATTCAGCACACAGGACCTCAAACTCACGCCGTGTCATGCCCAGCGTTGCAACAACAGAGAAACGCCTTGAGCCTCCTCCAAACCCCCAATCGCACCCTTCCGGTCACATCTCGCATCACCGCATCTTCTAAACGACCCGCCTCAACGTGAGTAGACCTTCTTCGTCCATAGTAGCGCACATCAGGCGCCCTCGGTGGCAAAAGAGTTGGGGCACGTGCTAATTGCTAACGATCGCTTCAGCGATCATGCATGAACACAACTTGATGGTTACTTACGGGATCCATGGGGCCCATGTTGAAAGATGGTTAGATGAGTAGGTGCGTTGATCGATGATGATTTGGGGGGATTGATCTTGGCCAGTGAAACTCAGTGCAGTGCACGGCCCGGCTTCAAACCGTGGGACATGCCAAACTGGGTCAAACCGACGGCCTGAGCCGTGGCTGATCTGCAAGAGATCGACAAGGAGTTCGTACGAGCCGTGTTCAGCCAGCTTAGATGCGGTAGCGAGGACTATGAGTGGGATATTTACGCTTTAGCATTTGAGGCAGCCCTCAATACCAAAAGGTGCGGTTCATTTATTGATGTGTGTGTCAGTAGCACTTATGTTGGTGTTGCAGTGCTCTGAAGCTCTCGCGGACTTTTTTGTCGACAGCTCGAGATTCCCTACCGCACTGGGCAGCCCACGCACGTCTCGAGCGCTTGCGCGAGCACGTCGATGATGCCCGTAAGGTCTATCAAACGGTGCCCGTAACCTCTCAGCACACACACACCCAGCCTTTCGTTGGTCAGTTATGGTGGGATTGGGCTGAGATGGAATGGCTTAGTGGTAACGAAAATGCGGCACTACGTGTTATCCAGCGCTCAGTCAAGATCGAGGGTACGGGTGGTATGGTAGTTCTTCGTGTAAAACGCAGCCTCGATGATACGATTAGCTGCGCTCACGAGCAGTGGAAGGACCGGGAAGCTTGGATAAAACTACGAGCCTTTGTCGAGCTGCTTACTTCCTCATCTCAAGATGCGGCACTCACGGTCTTAGACTCTCAGCCTGCTGCCAGTGTTAATGAGAATCCTGGTCGGAGAGAGAGCATGATGGTTGCATCTCTTATGCTACTGTACAATCATTCAGTCATACTACGACGTCCTACTCCGACAGCTGTCCTGAGGGATCGACTACAGATTGCCGTCGACACTTACTTGGACAATAGCCTGGTGTTGGGCATGTTTCTAGAAGCTGAGAAAGGGCACGGTATCTGGGGTCGCGTACGGGCTCAACTCGGACAAAGCACAGCCAATGGAGGCCCAAGAGAAAAGAGCATTTCACGGCGTATCGCAGAAGTGTGGGTCCCAGGGTGGGAGAAAGTGCGATGGCAGAGTGAGATCGAACGGACGAGGAGCGGACTTGCTGCGGCTGCAGAGAGCGAAAGGTTTGTGATATCGTTTTGCTCCGGCTGTCATGGGTTGACATCATTTTCAGGACTGCAGGAAGCGCTATTTTGTGGCGCGTCATTTTGGAATTTGAGATTCGGGTCGGGGAGTTGCAAAGGGGGAAGAAGCTGCTTTACAGAGCAGTGAGTGAATGAATGTGGAATGGCGTCACCTGCGATGGCTCCGGTAGAGTTGCAAATCTGTGAGTCCGCTCCACACATTACGCGCACCGTGACCAGTACTCACCCGCATACAGCCAATCAACCTTTCCTGGAGTACCAGCAGCACTATTCAACGAGCTTGGAGCACTCACTGGCCTCGAGTCTTTGCAAGTCGTTCAAGTTGGAGGTAGCAGTATACCAGGTATGTCGCCACGTCTTATCATTGGCATGATCTGACGCAAGTTGCCGTAGACGAGAGAGAAGTGGTCATAGGTCGGAGCCCTAGGAAGGTGCTTGCTTCCATAGGTCAAGGTAAAACAATGTCGCGCTTCCTCCCCTCCACAAAGATGAATGTAGGTTGTCGTGTTTTCTTTTGAAATCCCCTTTTGAATTTCGTCTCCTAGCAAATGATGGAGCATCTGGGGAAGTGGGCTATGCAAAGCCCTGATGACAAGGTGCGGCTTGAAGTCCAACGACCACAGCGATCGTGGTGCTGATGCTATATACAGACCATAATAATCTCGCAGTGGACCGAATGTCTCATGCACAACGGTAAGCTTGTGCGCTGCTGCGTTTTCCCTCTCGTGCTTCAGCCTTCCTCTTGGCTTGAGCAGCCTCGCGCTCCTCTTTGATCTTTCGGAGACGAGCGTCTCAAACTTATCTCCGACTTCCTTGCGGAGAAGAAGATACCCCATGTCAAGTGCGAATCTTCTGATGACCTCGTACCTGCTTATCTGAATTAATTTAATCTTTCAGTTTAGGTTTCATGGGTCGATGGGTCGTAGTCAAAGAGATCAGGCTGTCCGAGTTTTCATGATGGGCAATACCGCACAGGTCATGCTCGATGTCCCTGGAATGTGGAGGTGTTGGGTTGAATCTGACAAGGGTCAATCGTACGCCTCCCTACTTTCTTACATCGCTGCATTCTCACTCCTCACAGGTGTCATCTCCCTGGATCTTGAGTCATGATGTTGTCCAGACGTGTCAAATGACCATACTACCCCGCCGAGTCAATACAGGGGGGCGCTCTGCACGTTGTTTTTTTAGCATGCAAGGGGTCATTCATCGTTTACGTTGTACTTTCCTGCATCGTCCGCACGTATCTATTGTAAGTACTACAAGCGATCCCCTTTGGTCGGCAATAAGCAGTATGGTATGCAGATTCGATGTCATGATTCCGAGTCAAAGCCAAATACTATGCACTCAACGATGGGACTGATTCACGACAAGCGATCTTGTGCGCTACAGTAATGTGAACCACAATCATCAATGCATCACCAGTGCAATGCTCGGCTTTGTTCTTCACTTCAGATTGGAAGCGAGAATATTAATTAATGATAGGCATCTGCTGAACGTATAGTAGTCTGCCTGTGGGAATTCAATACCCTGGTAAGTGCGGCACTGGTTGCGGAATTGTTAGTCTGCGGTTGGGACATATTGCAGACCATACATTGGCATCAGCAAACCGTGAAAAATTGCCTTATAATGTACAACTTGAATTGGGGAATATGAGAAGGTTCAACCAGGGTTACTGGGATACCCTGTCATCTCCTCCCGGCTGTGATGCCCCAACAACGACATATTATCACAAACTCCCTTGCAAATACAGATATGAGGACCATTGCGAAAAACGCTGCCCGTGAGATAGTCTTATATACCCTTGCAATTGAAAACTTAAATAACGGAAACGACAATGCTCGACAAGGCGAACACACCTATACTGTCATCTCTTACCGGCTGTGATGCCCCAACAACGACACATTATCGCAAACTCCCTTGCAAATACAGATACGAGGACCATTGCGAAAAACGCTGCCCGTGAGATAGTCTTATATACCCTTGTAATTGAAAACTTAAATAACGGAAACGACTATGCTCGACAAGGCGAACACACCTATGCTGTCATCTCTTACCGGCCATGGTGTTGCGAAGACGTGACCTCGTCACAAAATACTAAATGTCGTCTAGATTCGCAGACTTACATAGGTATATAGCAACATCACAAATTTCTCGCACTTTAAATACCCATACCTAGCAAGAGCAAATTTATATCTCTCTATAGGTCACACGGGTACAATATCAAGGACTCCTCAATTCACTGATGTTCTGACTGGGGCATCGCTCGTCATGGAGGTACGACGGAAGTGGAGTGTAACACGACAGTTCAACAATAAATAAATTAAAGGCGCAGTGGGTGCGCAAGCAGTGAGTGCTCAACGCTAGATGATGGTTAAGCTCAAGGACCGAAGTCGCAGGATTCAGCCACTCATCAGCGTTTAGGAGACTCAGTCAAGAGCATGAGTCAGATGATGACGCGTGTACGCACAGACCCGAAACTCGGCCTGAGCCGAGTGCGACCGTAGATTCAACTTGTTTAAACCAATTAAAACTCGATGAATGTTACCAAATGTCGGAAGCGAGAGTTGGAACAGCACCACACATACTCATACTATGCTGTAAGTCACACCTGCTTCATCTGGATTAGCAGGACCGCCGGGTCTATTGTGATCATAGGCCATTGTAATCTGTTACCACCATGACCGCACCATCAGGGGACGCCAGCGGCATTCATACTAAGACATTGAAGGATCCCAATAAACCGGTTCCTCCGACGTTCTCTGATATATTGGAACATCGAGCGTTTCTGAAATTTCGCTTGGCTCAGGCGTATCGTATCTTTGGTGAGCTCGTTGTCTTATCGTGACGGGAAGCGCTCGTCGTCATCGTGCAAAGCAGCAAAGTACGGCTATGACGAAGGCGTTGCAGGACATATTACTGTCCGGGTGAGAATAATGACACTGATAATACGATGTGCGTGGTTATTCTAATTGCTTTGTTGAAAGGACCCAATCAGGCCAGATTGCTACTGGGTCAACCCCTTGGTAAACAATTATGTTGTCGAGACAAAAGCTATAATACTCACCAGTTGATATAGGGTGTTCACTTCAAGCTCATCCAGCCTGAGCTCCTCCTTCTCGTGGACCATGAAGGAAATATACAAGAAAAGGAGTCCGGACCCTATCGGCTCCTCAACCGATCAGCATACCTGATCCATTCAGCCATTCATGAAGCTCGCCCGGATGTGATCTGTGCTGCGCATTCGCACACTACGTATGCCAAGGCGTTCGGCTCCCTTGGAGTGCCCCTTGACCCCATCACTCAGGACAGCTGTGCGTTTTATGAGGTATCTCGCGTTCATCATTCTTCAATGAAAAGAGGTATCTCAGTCAATGTGTCCATAGGATCATGTGTTATTTAGTGAATTTCATGGCATCGTCGATGACCGCGAGGAAGGTCTGGCTATAGCAGCTGCTCTAGGTTCCAAGAAGGTTCGCAAATGCACCAATTTGTATATGTCGACGCTCACAGTATTCTAGGCTGCTATCCTCCAGGTATCTTTGAGAGCTTGGTTGAACGTTCTCAACTGCTTACCATGTTCTTTTGGTAGAACCATGGGGCTCTTGTTGCCGCCAAGTCGATTGAATCTACCATTTTCTTTTTCATTTCTTTGGAAAAGTGCTGCAAGGTTCAAATGATAGCAGACCAGGCTGCCGCCGCTCGTGGACTGACACCGCGTCTTATTGACCATGCAAGTGCGGTTAAAACATGGCAACTTCTTGGATCTGAGCTAGACGGTTGGTTTAATGGGGTTCCTGAATTTCAGCTCTTGGAGCACGAAGAAGGAAAGAAATTCGAGTACACGCCTGCACACAAGTAGAACCTGTAGCTGACCTATTTACCAATATGGAGTCCTAAAGCACCCAGCGATATACCTGCCAATGTTTTGATCCTCTACCAACATGGCGTAGGTGTCCACCGGCAAGGTGAAACGACCGTTGCCATTTCCTCTACAAGAACATACCCATGCGCGGATTTCCTACGAAGCATCTCTATAAGGTCTAAGAAAGGCTGGTCACCAGAATATCTGGAAGCGAAATTGTCAAATCTAGAGAGCCATTCATTGAGAAGGATGAGTGGTAGACCAAGACGTCCTGCGCAGGTACAGGTGTCCTGCGAAAGATTGAGCCCTCAAGGTTGGATTTGAGGGCGCGATATGGAGTATCGGACATGGCGGTGGTGATCAGATAGTGAATCCCGTTTTCTTGCATGATACCTACCACCACCCGAGATTCTGAGTCCGCCGGGCGCGTTCATACTTTTTAAAGTCTGTTGGTTGCCTGTTGGTTGGGGTAACTCGCCCGCGATCTCGGTGCTGCTATGAGCAGAACATAGTGTTGTTTTATCTAATGCTGAGCTTGTGCTGGTCCGTCTGCAGGTATAGTCCCTTTCGACGGTGGCATCCTGCTAACATTTTCCCGTCTATTATTCGCTTCAACTTGGATGGGCAGGGTACACACATTCTGCATACCATCCGAGTCTCTCCAATTCCGTGAACTTTAAACAAATCAATGCCACTTCACTGATTGCAATGATCATCGACGATCACAGTCCAGTATTACTCCGGACTCGGAGGCTGCTTATGCACATTCGTGTTGTTCATAGTGCATTTGCTTTGGCCCTGTCTTTGACCCCTTTTGCCGATCAGGGTGTTTTTTGTGAGGAATACCTGTTATTAACAGCTTGGGTAGTAGTTACCTTTATAGCGTCCGCCGTCAACCGTCATATGTCCAGTTCCCAAAACCATACCGCAGAGGTCAGCGTAGGTCAATTGAGATTATTGATGCCAATCCTCACATTTATAACTATGTATTGTGCATAGAAGGAAAATGGCCGTTATTCCTTCGTTGTGGTCTGCTTTCAAAGAGCAGAGTAGAACCGGAGCTTGCAGACGGCTTAATGAAGATTTGCATGACCGGATATGTTGCTAGATATGACCCAGGCTCATTACTTGGTCGAGGTCAAGAGATTAGATGCTGGACTCATGGAACAGCAAAATGAGGACGACACCATAACACCGTATTCGTCGCGATGATAGTCTCACTTTCCCGCGAGATATCCCACAGAAAGATCATGTTTTCCTTGCCACAGTAAGCGGTACGCCGTTTGGCAGCCTGGTGCACACGACCGTGTTCCAAATATTCGGCTTGCCGTCGAATGATCCTGAGGCGAGTCTTTCTTATCAGGTGAGAAACATGCATGATGGGGGCTGTTCAATGTGTGATGTGCTGCGCAATGTCAGACACCCCAACTGATGCATTTTACCATCAAACCCCATTGATACAGCCAATCCAGATTCCGAACGTCTGACTACCAGCGTGTTCCCAGAGTCCCGAGGGTTTCCCACTTTATTCCCTGTTTCCACATCCCAAATCCGACCGTTCTCATTCATTCCTAGCCAGACCAACCGAAGGGAGATAGTAGTTGTTCCTTCGTGTAAGAACGGCTGGACGCTTATGACTTCAAGTTCGTTCTCGTTTTTGGAAAACAGCATTATCAGGCTGTGTACCCAATCGTGGCAAGGTGTCGGATCTAACTAGGAAAAGTGGCTATGTGCGGCCGTTGGCAGATGAGGATATGAGAGCAATTAGATAACCTCCCCAGCGAAAAAGGAACGTCACCCCTCCAACTCACCGGGCCCCTCAGGTAGGTACTGGTGCAAGTCAGATTTCTTGAAAAGAGTCAGTTTTATCTTATGTTCTTCCGAGAGATGGAACAAAGGTTTGAAGCGGAAACCTTTGTCACCACCTACAACACTGAGGGCGTCCCAAATTTTCAGCGCTGTGCTATATTGTGAGCTGTCACTATCGATACTCACCTCGATATACGGCCGTCTAACTGAAAGCAGCACCCAATATTCAGAAGGACGAGGTGTTTGGGTATTCGGATTTATATAGAGGGATTTGCCTCCCTTATATCCAGCTGAGTGGAACACCCCACGCGCGCTCTTGGTCTCTCCAATTTAACACCGAGCCAAACTCAGCGCAATATTTCTGGTGTTACCAGAAAGCAAAAACGGCCGACAGTGCAAAGATCGTGATATTTTGTGAACCATACCATCAGAAGCCCCTTCCTCGTCCTCTACCCCTTGCCCTACCACGTCCACGGTCCATCCCTCGCCCCCTTCCCCTTTCGCGAGCATCGTCCTTCTTCCTGCCTTTCGGTTTCGGTGCGTCATCCACCAAGAGGGTATCGAGAGGAAGTGCATCGGGGAGTACGAAATACCGGATGTTGTTGCCACGAATAGATAGAGAGTCGAGGGATGCTGGGTCACGATTACGGGCTGTCATCTTGACAGTTTTGAGGTAGGTATTCATCTGCATGTCGACACCTGCGAATGATTAGAGGGGTGTAAGACTTGAAAAAAAGAGCCACTTAGACGAACCGGTGATTGTTCCATGGACTAGTGAGCCATTCTTGAGCTCGATAGTTACCGTTTCATTATTGAGTTTCATCAAAAATCTGATGAAAATAACTTGGGGTTAGCGCCCGACCTTGCAATGCTCGAATAGAAGAAAATTCTAGGGTTAGCTGAATATGATAGAAGCAAGCGCGGTATTCACCTTACAAGCTTCATGGTGAATATTTGACCAGCAATATGGTTGCCAGTATGCACTGAGGACGTTGCAAGGACGTTGTCAATGTCCACCAAATCAAGCCGCGCAAAATGCCGAGTTTCGAACAATTGAAACACGCTACTATGTAACTTGGAAACATAACTTTTAGATAACGACTAGTCTGCGGCCTCCTGGATTTCTCTCCTTCACATTCTCTAGGAGCCAGAATTGTCATCTATATCATTTTCGACCTAATGCATGTCTCTATCCTGGACAAAACGGAAAACATTGTTGAGTTCGTTACTCAATAGTTCCGATGACGATGAAGAAAGCCTTGCCTTGGATCGGATTTTGCATGGTCAACAGGTCATAGGAAGGACTAGTAAGAGCCATGTGCATTCTAGTGTTCTTTTACTCACAACCTCTGTTGAAATAGCGAAAACTGCAGAGATTGAATCTCTCCGTTTTTCAGACAGAGATCTTGTCGTCTTGGGCACACTGGAGCATGGCCAATTCGGGGTGGTGAGAGCGTACAGAGCATGTACCACCTTGTGTACTGATGTATCTGTTCAGATTGACGTGGTGACATGCCAGCTAAATGGTCGCGTATATGTTCGCAAATCTATCGAGAAACATTTTGCCCTGCGGACTCATGAAGTAACACTTGTTTTGCATCATGTGCTTTTCCATACTGAGGAATTCTATAGCAATGCTCTCCACAGTTAGAACGGGATATTCTTCTGTGCGCGAAACGTGAGCGCTCATCGTGGGCTCCGCACTTACTTTGTGCATTCCAAACATCCACTCATCTCAACGTTGTAATGGATTATGCCGAAGGAGGCACATTATGGGACGTCCTTGAGTCAAGCCCTGAAGGTAGAGTTCCTGAGGCAGACATACTTTGGTGGGCTCCTCAGGCAGTCTGCGCCATCAATTGGTGTCATTCACAAGGTTTTGTACATCGGTAAGAGCCGCCCTCTAGCATTCTGCACTCATATAAATGTAACGCAGTGACATCAAACCCCAGAACTTCGTTCTCACAGCAAGCAATCACATGCTTCTAATAGATTTCGGGTCTGCTGCGCCTCTTTCACCTCCAGAGCTTGACGGGAGCCAGTCGGTCCCGAAACGATATACTCTTGTTCCTTGTGGTACTTGTGATTATATTTCTCCTGAAGTTTTGCAAGCACACGAAGACGCCCTCCTTGCGTTGGAGTTGTCGGACGACAATGCTTCGCCTTCAATCTCCAAAGAGGCTACTCCGTATGGCTTGGAGGTAGATTGGTGGAGCCTCGGCGCAATGTTGTATGAATTGGTTTATGGAGTAGCCCCTTTCTTCGCTAAAGACATCCGAACTACCTATCTGAGGATTTTGGACTACGAGGTACTGCAGTGTCAGTGTACTTGCTTGTATCTACATTAACCCCTCATTCGAACAGACGAGCTTGCGCTTCAATGCGGCGATTCCCGTTTCTAAACAACTACAGGAGTTACTTTGCGGGTATGTTGTGCAATAATACATGCTACCATCACTCAAACCACATGGATGCAGACTTCTCACTGACCGACGCCGCCGTCTCGGTAGATGCAGCGTGTTGGAAATTACAGAGCACCCGTTCTTCGGAAATACCGACTGGTCTTGCGTAGACTCGCGTGAGTCTTGAATATCAATAGCTCTCCTTATATCAATTCTTTCTTGCGCAGGCCCTGCACCACCTGACATCCATGTGCCGCAATTTACATATTCTGTGTCAGCTGCGCCCATTACGCCCATAGAGCGCTCAGATCCCACGGATGAAGGAAATTCACAGCCGTTCGCGTTTTCTGCTTTATTCCACTCTTCCCCAAACACTTCGCCTGGAATATCAATTTTGCGGGACACGTCTCATCACATATCTCCACAAGCTGAATCGGCCTTCATCGGATTTTCGTGGGGTCCCACTGAGGATGCTTTCCTTCTCCCAACCGATCCATTTCGAAAACACGAGAGATTGGCCACCCCTCGGGCTCTACAGGCCACTTCCGGGAAATCTAGCCCTTATCCATCGCTCAAAGCTTCCAGCGCTGCCACGCATTTCTCCGCGTTTGCAACACCCGTTCGTCCCCATAGTTTATCAGCATTTCACACCCTTCCCCGCACAGGCACTATACGGCGTACAGCTCAGCGGCGCGCTGTTTCTGATCGTGAGGCCATGAAGCAGCTCGTAGAATGCATCGGAATGAGCGCCAGGAAGAAAGTCCTCGCTAGCGGTCGCAAGCCGCGGTTGATGCAGTCCTTTGGCCGAAGTTTCTCAAACCCCGTCCGGAAAGAGCTGCGCTTCGGTCTCCAGCCCATTATCACCAACAAAACTTATGACTCCGATGATTTCCCAGCTGTGGTGGTTGCTTCGCCATCAGAGGGAGTCGACGAAACCGAGTCGGATGGGCCACCAAGTCCCAGTCCCAGTCCACGCCCCGGTTCTGCAATGTCTATACTCAGCCGAAGAAGTGTCACGCCCACAATATCTAGATCCTATTCTGCTCGTCTGTTAAACCTCCCCTCTACTTCATTTACGACGAGTGGATCGCATGAAGAACTCTTGAGTAATCTGCAAGGCGACGAGAATGTGTTTGAATCACTGGAAAATAGGCACGCCGCCATGATGTCTGATTTGACAGCAATAGAAGGGCGCTTGAGCTGCATCTCCATGTTATTATCGGTGGAGGCACCCAGGTCCTCCGCTAACGTCACTTAAAAGGGGTATGTTTACGGGGTGTTCATCTCATACAAATTGACTGTTCACTGACTAATGTTCGTCGCTAGGATATCTCATCGGAGCGATCCGTATCACCGGCGAAGTGGAGTGCGTACTGTCGTGTATGAAAACCACGGCCAAGTTGACAACAGCTGGCAGATTTCAAATTCAAATGCGAGCAACTGTACAACCGTATACTACTATAACACTTTGTATAGTCTGTTGTACATGGGCCAATTCACATCCACATGCTAATGTCACCCGGCATCCCATGCACTAGAGTTTCTTTGGCAATACGCGTGGAAGCTGCTTCCCGCACATCATATAACGCTCTGCTTGTTGACGATGCCCTTGGGCAATTTTTGCCGTGATTCCCCGAAGTTGTTAGATGGTCCTGAACCGAAAATGAGGCTACGAGAACTCGGAGAAGGTCTGGACTGGCATGCATGGTCATCCTCAATCCTATTTCTTCTTTGCCGCTCGGCCCGCCCATCCGCAACACTTGATCTGTCTATTCTGCAGGAGCGAGCTGACAGTTATTTTGTGGGTCCCCGAGAAAACCCACCCTGCCAAACGGCTGGCACAGAACAAGATCGTTCTTCCCGTCCTATTCAGGCCGAGCATCTTTAACTCCTTGCGTACTTTCGCACAGTGTCTCTGATGAAGCTCTAGTATCTAATTTTGATCCTGCTTCTTCTGGTCAATTGCCGACAACATTTATTAAGGATATGGCGTATGTGCTCCAATCTCCCAAATCATCATGAGTAGTGCCCTTCGAGTTTCTGGACGAGCTATCTCGAAATCCCTCTTCACGCTCCATCTCTTCACGCAGAATGACATTCTGACAACTATCATCCCAACGGTAAACACTCTAGCATTCCTAACAACTTCTGGTCTAATATCACAAATGCAGACACTTTTTGCGCTGGTGGCAGCCCCCCTCTGTAACCCCTATCGATGTGTCCCGGTGGTCTGGTGGATTTGGCTCCACCTCCTTCACTTTAACGTTGCCAACCAAGTAATTGATCCAGCGGAAGATGGCAGGAACAAAGCTAGCCGACCAATACCGGCGGGATACATCAGTTTACGAGATGCGGTCTATCTACGCTGGTCCCTGGTTCCCATATGCTTGATATCATCAGCATTTTATAGCATTCAAGTGTTTAGCGCAAGCCTAGCGATAACTTTTCTCACTCTCTGGTACAACGAGTTCAAAGCCCATAGTCACTGGTTTTCAAAAAACTTGATGACTGGCTTAGGATATGCTTGCTTCCAGGCCGGGGCCACCCTCATCGCAGGCATGTAACCTATATCAAATAAGAAAACACATGCTGACTATCACAGCCAGGCCGAGATATGTCGCGGCTAGATCCTAGTGCTATCTTGGCTGTGCTGCTTAGCATCGCGATGTTTGCCACCACGCTGCAAGCGCAGGACTTCAAGGACCAGGAAGGAGATCGTTCCATAGGCAGACGGACACTGCCAATCGCGTATCCTTCTCCAGCTCGCGTGTCCATGTTTATAGGACTTCCGATGTGGTCAATTTGTCTCACTCAAGTCTGGGGGATGGACACATTCTGCAGTGTTGCATTCATATTTTATGCGGGCCTTGTCGGATTACGATTCATGGTGTGTAAGACACCTCGGGCGGACCGTCTGTCATGTAAGCTATACAGTGTAAGTCATACCCTCATCCGTGTAGCTTCGGCCTGACCGACTCTTTGAAGCTCTGGTTTTCTGTCGCACACCTACTTCCTGGTTACTGGCGTTACTTCAATGATGCGCGCATGCATCTTTCATAGTAGTTATAGAGGAGGTTTGATTCAAGGATTTCTCACCGTGGACTTACGGACATCGCATTTTGTTACACCAATCAAACACACCGAGTTACTTTTGTTGTACACCTGTAGTATAGACTTTCATTATCGATCTCTTGATACGGGCAAATCATTTTGGGGCCTTGGGTCGCTGCTATCTATGCCTTTGTTGCAAGTCGCTACTCCCTTGCTCAAGTTATTAAGTGACGGTAGGGCGGAGAGTACTTGGCAGGGTATATCCCAGCGTTTGGGTCTCGTGCACAGTAATAACCACATGTTACATACGCACACCGTCATCGTCCTCATCAGGCAGCCCATCAGCATTATACTGATCGGTTCCGTCTTTCTCGTGCACTGGTCCAATGGTATCTATCTATGACATAATGTCGTTGCTCATGTGGTTATCCAATACACCGGTTCTAGTGGAGGTAGCTCCATGAGGTCTCATCTTTGGCCCGATAGCATCAGTGCGTATATTTGACTAACCCTGAATCAAAGCTCTAACTTTAGAAGAGATGGGGTTGGATTCCGATCCATCACCGCCGTGAACTGCTGCGTATCTGATGATCAGTGGACGAAACGTTTACGTGAGGTGCACGAAAAACGACTTCAAAGTCTGTGAAGGAGGCCTCACACCTGAAGATACATATTGCTATTCACTGCAATACTATGTACTGTCTATGCCTGTTCTTCTGGACGATGGAATGTGGATTATATCACACCCGGGCCGGCCATCTGCGGCGACGATGGACCCTAAACTTGTGGAGTATAATTTAGGCTGGTGTGGAGCTTCTAGACGGTTGCTGTGGCATCCATCTTGGACAAATCAACGACTCATCGACTGTTGTGGCCGTAGATGCAGCTTTGTGGTCGACCTTTGGCAATAATGGGACAAGACTAGTGTATCCTCTGAGCCCATTGCGCCGAAGTACCTGCAGTTTCAATCGGGGTAAGTGGTTGTTTATCTCAACGGGAAATTACTGCGACCTTTGAGTTTCATAACTCCAACAGTGATTTGCTCGAGCCCATGTTGCCATCCCATGAAGGCACCTTCGTAAGACCGTCGATAAACCTTTTCTCGACGTCAGCATGATAGAGGCGGCCCGCATGCTGCCCAAGCCATCGCACCGCTTCTGTCGAGGCCAAGTTCCAACATGACAGTGGTAATCAAGTCGTAGTTTTCGTCCCCCCTCGCTTGCTCTCTGTTGTACGAGATCATGTCCTGTGAAGTCTATTAGCAGTCACTGACCACATCTTCAATGCGACTTTACATTGTCAATCAACATCAACTCCGCAATGCAATCAGCCAGTTCGGCAATGACGGGATTGTAAATCACTTCATCAGGAAGATCCATTCCCATTTCATATATTGCGATGGCAGGCTTTGCGGCACACGTATCCCGCCGGAGCTTGATGTAGTCATCGATACTGGTAACTGCGGCAATGGGCCTCGTCGCGATCGAGAGCCTCGACAACTACCGCACGAAGGTATGCGATATAGCTGTCAAGGAAATGACGTTGAAAAGGCAGGCTTGCGGTCTCGATTGCACGAGACCAAAATCTACGTGATTATCCTTGGACTTCAAACAATTTGGATATACTTGCTGTCGTACGATTTCACCGAGGGTGCATTCGCCTTCTGGTCGCGTCTTAAGAGGATTGTGTAGGGCATCAATGCATCAATGACGATGCCCACCATTGTTACTGCTGCATTTTCAATGTCGGTGTACTCGTCCACAATGATGAAGACATTAATCAATTCGTAGCCGATTCGAAGTGTTCTATGTTGTAAGTTTGGGGAGAGATATGTCATTCAGCGTTTCTCACGTTTACTTTCAGGGTATTTACTTCCCACAGTGATATACGTACGTATACGTACACTACATATGGACGCGAAACGATTTTGGGTACTGTTCAACGTTGCGCAATGCGCACCCTCATGATATCTCGAGATTTTTGGCGAGTCGACCAACTTTCGGAAAACTTCTTCGCCACAATCTGATTTCCACATTGTCGTTATCAAGTCCGTCAAAATATTTGTCAAGACTTGTCAGCTGAACATAACATACTGGTGTACACCGCGTGCGCCATGAACCGCTCGTGCCTTCTCTGTACGAATTGACAGATCTATTCTACGCTCTTCCGTAAAGTCAACACGACTCATCGGCCCAGTGCAACTCCAATAGTTCAACTATCCCCAGCCCGTCCACAAATCGATACCACCATCAGAATTCGTCCCCACTTTCAGCTTCGTAACCCTTCGATAGCGCAGTGTTCGAACGCCAAACCGAAGGTGAACCGACGGTCCCGAACGCGTCTGAGCACGTTTGGTTTGGCGTTTAACCAAATCGCTGAACCGAAGGCAATATCCGGTCGCATTTGCCGATATTTCTGGTGAACCGGACTGAACCGGATTTTGACAACACAGTCCTACTTTGTTCCCTGCGGGCATGGTACTGGTCTGATTGTCTGACACAGTCATACCGGCGAAAATTCATCCATAGACTTTGGCATTGGCCCCACGAAATTTGGTCCCTGTTGCCGTCCGTTAATAAGTCAGCGAAGAACACAGGAACTATGACAGCAGGTACGTACTTGCCTGGTTTGAAAATGAGAGGCGAGATTGATAGTAGCGTGTATTTCTAGCCAGTCAGAGAGAAGGCTACATATCAAAATAACGCATGATGTTGGCTGTAAGTAACTGACATAATTTGCCCCCAAATAGTCTGCAGTGCTTATTACTTTTGGTAGGGTGGCACTTACACTCTCACCGGCATACTGGCACTTCCTGCCAGTGCGACTGGTCTTGTCCCGTAGTGGAGACGGCCTGGTCTCAATGTAAGCGAAGTTGGACATAATTTCAGGTACGAAATATCTTCCGCTCACCACCGCTCACCGCCATCCAGTACCCGAATGGCGCCACTACGCGAAAGCATAGCCTACTACTATATGCCGCTTGCCTTTCGGTAATACTTTCCCCGACCTCCCACACAGGGTCTGGGCTACGCATGCCAATTCCGGTAGATTTCACTTGATCAAAACCCATTCGGGGCTATCCTGGACAACCTTATCAGCATCTGACTCAATCCAACAATCGCGTTTGAGCGCTTGGTGCAGCTTATCGGCAAACCTCGAGTGGCGAAGGACAGCGAAGACTAGCCTGTAGTCGACTCGCAACTCAAAGTAATGTATTGCACCCCCTGCGGGAGAGCAAGTTTGATATGAATGTCAGCTTTTTGCACCTCCAGGCCAGACGGCAATTTGCTGTCCCAAAACATATGACAGCAACAGTCTGCTATAATGCAAACGCGAACTACGATGCTCGGCCAAACATGATTTGATTCCTGCGCCTCTCCTTTGATATGATCAGCTGGAAACATCTTCTCATCTGTACTTGGAGCGCAATTGGGCAATTACACCAGTGCTTATCGGCTTACAACTCACATGTGCATAGGTTCGGGAATCCTCTCGTATTGCCGGAAGATGTGCATATTGGGTTCGCAGGGCCGCCATAGAATGAACTCTGTGCCGATTGGTGAACCTCCTTGAGTGTATGCCGTAACAGCTACTTCGTTGTTATCACATCTCGCGCTATTTAATCGCGAGCTACTGGCTCGAAAATAAGCAAACAATCAGATCATGTTGTCCCAAGCCCTAGATAGCGGTCGCCGTATCAGCGGGCACATCAAGACATTATTTTTATTCACGAAGTCCGACGTGATTGGGGTTCTGATACCTATCGTGCGTGCTCCCTACATGCATGTTGCTTGTATGTCGCTTGACATGACTTTGAGCATTTTAGACTTTGTCTGTTTTCGCATCTGCTCGCCATCCCAACGTAACTCGCATTCCAGACATCATCATATGGATATGGCTGCACCTCCTGAAACATGCTATATATAACCAAATGCAGGATCCAGAGGAGGATAAGAGAAACAAGCCTTATCGCCCTCTCGCTGCTGGACGCATAACTGTCCAAAATGCGGCAGATGTGCGCTGGCTGCTAGTGCCAGTTTGTCTGATCTTTTCTGCAATGTATGGCAGCCAGGTTCTCGCCTGTAGCGCTTGTCTGGAAGCCCTCAGCACCTGGTATAACGAGTTTGGTGGCGATAAGACTGCACTTTCGAAGAACCTATTGACGGCTATCGCATATACAATTCTTGAACTAGGCGCAACGGTCGTGGGAGGTACGTAGGTTGTGCCAGAGGCTATGAGCAAGCTTTGTCGTTGACTGGGATTTTTATTTTAATAACCAGGGTCCAGCATTGATAGCGTCGGGGCACGTGCACATGTCTTCAGTTTTGTGGTGTTTGCTACGACGATTCATGCACAAGATTTCAAGGATGAAGAGGGAGATCGCTTGACAGGAAGACGCACTCTTGTCACTCTGTTCCCTACCTTTGCACGCATGTCCATGATGATTGGCATCTCCCTTTGGTCACTCTGCCTGAGCAGATTCTGGAAGGTGGATTTCATCTGTTCTGTTGCATTTATAGCGTACGGAGCCGCTGTCGGGGTGAGATTCATGGTTTGTAGGACTGCGAGTGCTCATAAACAATCGTGCAGATTGTACAGCGTCAGTGATTTTGTTGAGACTCGAAAATTCTACGTACTGACGCATACCTGTAGCTCTGGTTTACCCTTGTGCACTTACTCCCTGGCTACTGGCGATTTTTCTACAGCACTTGAACTGGAAGCCCTAGTGTGTTGGATGTTACTAGTTAGGCGTAACAGCGCCTCGCTGTGACTCGTTATTCATTTACTTTCGCGATCACTTACTGCGCATAGTAGGCTACGGAGAAGTTATCACCACATTCCGAAATCTCCGGGGACAAATTCTCGAGGCTAGAGATTGACAAGAGGGGGCTTTTGCTGTGTCATTGATATCGATTCTTGGATTAGATTATGATGGACATTACGTAATGGTATAGTATTGCTACAATGAATTTATACACAGTCACGTGAATCAATCAGCCTGACGCGTCTATTGCCAAAGTGCTCGCCCAACTTGAATGCCCGTTGAATTGACTGGGTCTTTGACAACAGCTCTTCCAAGTCAGGCCCCAACATCTGTCTGAACCTCCAGTTGCAAGCTGAGAACTTCATGGGTGAGCTTACTGCTTCATCCATGAGTTCATCCTCTCCACAGCAAGCCTGAACGAAGAGGAGCACGGGAAGGATAAAGAGCTAAGTCCTAGTGTCTATATGCAACAGGAAGCAGCAGAGAACACGGAAAGTCTCGGTCAGTTCTCGGATATATTTGACCGTATGGGACTTGATGTCCCCAAAGCATTGATGGAGGACACAACCGTAAACCCACACACCTAACTAAAGTAGTTGATCCTTTCTAATATCCTCGAGTGGTGGAGGACGTCGTTCACGCCTGCCAACACGAAAACGGCCACCTGATTGGATTTTAACATCTCTTGGTGTCGGCAGTAAAAAGTGTAGTCGGGGACTGAGTTATTCAACACTACTCACGAGACTTGTTAATGCCAAGTCCATGCAATCGAGTACAACGAGTGAATGAGAACGGTCATGAATATCATCAAGAACCTTTCGTCGATAATCCAAATCCAAATAAACGAGAGTCTAGCTATAATTAAGTATACGAAACGAGCGTGCTGCATAGGTAGTACTTGTAGTTGCGATCGAAAGTGTTGAATGTTCTAGTCCATGCGTTCCATCCAGTCGAGTGGGTATTCCTTTCCTAGTAGTTGTTCGGTGTGGTATTGGTGTGCGTCCTTTTGGTGCGGCTGCGTGAAATGCCCGGCGCCTTTCAAGCCCCAAAAATCAAACTCCTATCCACAGACGCATCTTCTTCCTCACTACTCTCCTCCTCAATCCCATCCTCCGTCCTAGACCTCTCCTTCACGTACTCATGCCCCAAGAAATTCATCACGCTAGAAACGACGCATCAGAACACACCCAAAACACATAAAACCTCAAAACACTCACTAAATCGTCCCATCCGCGCACCCAACCACTACTTCCTCGTGTGTAAGCTGCATCGACATCGGGTTCTTCTCTGGCACCGCCAAGCCGTTGAATTTGGGCGGCAACGGACCTAGGAGACCTTTCACACCCACAGTCGTAGCATGTGCAAGCGCCTCCCATGCACCCGACAAAGAAATGATATTTGCGTCGATATCGACGCTCGGCGTCGTGGACGTGAACATCGGGTTTGCGTGGTCCGCCGTTGGTCCAGTGTCTTCATTCACTGCATCATCAAGGACATCAACCTTTTCCTTGTCTTGATGCGTCGACATCAGAACCTGAGGGCATCAAATGAGGACCAAGAATGGGTAAGAAGAGGATGGGACAGACATACCCTCCGATCAGCCCCGGCACGCGAGCTAAATCTCGTAGCAGTAACTACCCTCCTCTTCCTAGGATCCACAGCCCCAACAGCAACATCAGGCGTCTCCACGAGCGCAACGAGCTTCGGGGGTGCAGTCAGGATGGCTGCCCGGCCGAACCTAATCGCAAACCCATCTGTACCTACCGCACCCATAGGGGAGAGCGGCGTACCCATCGGGGACAACGGGGTGCTAGATCGAGGTAGTAGGGAGAGTGGAGACGGCGATATACCTGAGAGCTGAGATGCACTGAGATTGGCCGAGAGCGGTGTGGAAGGTGTTCCAAGGGAAAGTCGCGATTTGGGTAAGCCCGATGTACTCACACCGAGTGCAGACTGTCTGCGCTGGGGAGTAGCCATCTGCGTAGGCCGTATAAGAGCCGAGACGGCGCGTGATCGTGGGTTAAGGGAAGAGGGGGTAGGAGAGGTAAGGGTCCTTCCAGTGAATGTAGGACTCATCGTAGTCGTCTCGGCCGGAGTTTTCTCGTCTTCACCTTCATTCCATTGCAAGTGCAGAATAACAGATTTGGTCGCGCACTAGTCAGAAGCGAATAAGGTGAGTGGGCCAAAGATAAGTACAACACTTACAGTCATTTGCATGCCTTTGGCCGCGAACCACTGCAACATATTATTAGGCGCAGACCCCACATTAAACAACTTCGCATTCAGCACAGGGTCACTACCACCGAGATCACTGAGTTTGAACTGCGAGATCATTTCTCTCCTTTCTATACGTCATCACCAAACCATCAGCAACAAAGTAAAGAGGACACCATCTCAATACTCACTAATCGAGAAAACCCGAACGATCCCATCAATAGTCACGCTCACCACCCGCTCACCCTCCGCCTCAGTGCCTCCCTGGACGATCTGCACACCAATATTAATCGTCGTTTGCTGTCCGAACCTCACGATTTTCGTCCCCGCGCGCCAATCCCAGCACACGAGGGCCTTATCAGCGCCTGCGCTGACGAGGTTCTTGGAGGAAAGCGCGACGGCCCGGATACCGTTGAGGTGTCCGGCAAGTTGTTGGAGAGGCGTGAATGTGACGGAGGAGAAAAGATGAACGCGGCTGTGACGCGTATTCAGGCATACAATCAGTACAGTTATTCCACGTATGAGATATATACAAACGGACGCACCCAACATCGTGGAACCCAACCACGAAAACCTCTTCGGTACATCAGCTCCAACACGCGTAATGCATAGTATGAAAAACGACGACATACCTTCCTCTGCCAAGAAATCCACACAGCTCACAGGTTTTTTCACCTGTAAACACTTTTTCATCTCACCCGTTTCGATGTCCCAGAAGCGGATTGTTTCGTCGTAGGAGCCTGAGATGAGTCGTTTGCCTGTGGGAGGGTCAGCGTAAGCTTGTGCTTCAGTATAATGGGGTCAAAAATAGAGCAAAGGAGGGAGAAGGGCATGCAAGGAGTGTAGCCGTGAATCGGAGTGGCTGGAGGAGCAGGACCTGCTTCGAATACAGCTGCTGACCTTCAGCCTCCCTGATCCTCATTCTACGCCTTTCACTAAAACAAAGTCAAAAGGTACACGAGCTCAGGAGGTAAAACGGAACGGAGAGATAGTAACTGTGTATCAGGGTGGTTGGAAGAGTAGGACCTGCTAATACAGCAGCTGACCTTCAGCCTCCCCTGATTCGCATTCTATGTCTCTTCTCCACCAATACAAAGAACCTCCGCCCACCAAAAAGCGCCCTCCCCACCCAACACAACAACACCAAGAAGAAGAAGAAAATACAACAAGCCTGAGAAAAAACCACTTGCCTCTCAACAACAACGTTGTACAGAAGTTCGTATGCCCATTCAAGAAGCGTATGCTCTGCGGAAGCGCACGCGCAAAATTGGACTCGCGGTGGTGGAGGGAGCGATAGAGGGGGTACCTGGTACGATGAAATACAACAAACACAGTAAGTAAATCAGTGAATGTGAATCGCCGAGGTCGCCACATTAGTTAATAACGAGGGATACCAAGGAGCAAGAGAAGCATTTGAAGGAGAATGGGGGAAGAGAGGGAGAGGAAAGAATATAAAAAAAGAAAAACGAGGAAACAAAACTCACCATCCGTCTGGCTTCGCCGGTGCTCTTACACGAACCGGATCATTGGCGGTCAAGCGCAAACAATGCCACCTCCACAACGCAGGATGACGAGTTGCCGCGTACCATTTTTTCGAGACCTGCCGTGAGCGTCATCAGTCCTCTGTCATTCCACCTCGATCCACGAATGAGGGATTCCAAGCGAAAATATTGCATGTGACCAAGCAGAACCACACGACACACGGCACACCATGCAGACCCACCACCTACAAAAAGAAAAGAAAAAAACTCACCAACGCAGCCCTAACAACCTCTCTCACGCTCAACTTGCTCAAAATCTGGAGTGCAATCTCAGGCGCGAGGGAACCGATGATATCGAATGAGCTTTTGAGGTATTTTTGGAGGAGAAGGATTTGGAGGGGAATGTCACCCGGGAGGGTTGCTGTTGGATGGTGAGAGTGGGGTGAGGGTGGGGAAGGACGGTGGACCGAAGGAAAGAGAACGGGAGGGAAAAGGAAGCATTAGTTGGCCTTTCATATATGAAGATATGCAGGACGTACATTCAAGGATAATCTGGATACTATACGCCGTTAAAGAATATAAATGTTAGCGTTATCATCAAAACCGGAGAACAATAAAGCAAAGAGAGAAGAGGAGACCAAACGGGTATATCCATATCATCTAACACCAGCACCGAGTGGCCGGGATCACCTCGAAAAGAAGCAGGAAACCCAAACCAGAAAAAGAAAGACTCACAGCCTCCCCCGTCCCTCCCTTCCCAACCCCCTCATAGCCCTCCTAATACCCCTCTCATCAAGTCTCTTCATAGCATCCACCAGATTCCCCTCATCCCCTCCCTCCCTAATTCCACCCTCCTCACCCTCCGGATCCGCCCAACTCACGCCATCCCAATACCCCCTCTTCCTCCCACCACAAACACAATACTCACCTCCTTCCAATTGCAAAGACCCCTGAGCCTGGTACTGAGCACGCAGTTCTGCGAGTTGAGCTTGGAGATGATAAACCTGAGCTGCGCTACTTGCGTGGGCGCGTTCGAGGAGACGTTTGTAGGCGAGGAGTTTGGAGGTGTGGAGTGTGCGGATTTGAGTGAGGGCTTGGTCGAGCTGTGGACTTAGGTTAGTCAGGTTTGGTGAAAGGGTGGGAGAGGGGAGGCATGGGTATGCGCGTGAAAACAGGATGTATGCGCATACGGAGGCGTGTAATATGTGTCCAGGAAGATATATGCATGAATGAATAGCAGGGAGCGGCGTCAGAAGGACTTGCGCACGCAACAACACGAAGATCATGCAATTGCAAAGAGACATACATGAACACAAAAAAAGCAAAAGACAAACCAAACACTAAAACCAAATGTACTCACCTCTTCATCACCCTCCCCATCCACATCCGTAACCATATCAAACGTCATCCCATCATCCTCATCATCCCATATATCTTCCAGACCCGCATCGTCGTTCAAATTGATCACTGCACCGTTCATGACGCGTCCGTTTACACGTCTTGGACCTCCAATGATACTCGCGGTGCCGTCGCTAAAGACGCTCCCCATTCTTGTCCCGCCCATGGCACTTGCAGCCATCCCTCTTTTTGAAGCGAGTGATTCAGAAAGCAAGGCGACGGATTCTTTACCCATGTGGTTTGTGCCAGGAGAACGGACTTTTGGACTTGGAGAGTGCATGTTGTTTGTTCCAGGGGACCGGGTGATATTGGATGTCCCAGATGGTGTACGCTGTAGCTGGGTACGGGCGAGAGGGGACGACTTAGAGGGTGTAATGGTTGAAGGCATGTTTGTGGAAGATTTTGACGGCGTGTTATTTGAGTGGGGCTTGGGCGCGGGAGACGGGGGTACAGTGGTCGGATTACTCCCCATGGATACGCGCTTAGACAGAGAAGTAGTTTCGCCGCTCCCAAATACTGATGCTGAATTGGAAGTAGCAGAGCTTGTGGTGCGCACGCGGACTGACACGGATGAAGGATTGTTCTTGTGTTTTGAGGGACTTGGAGATGTAAAGTTTATGGCAGGTTTGGGAGAGGCGAGGGTAATGGAAGCACGGTGCTGATGCGATGGAGTTGGAACAGATGTTTCAGATACGACGCGTGCACGAGATGGGGTTGATGGCACCGCGTGTCGATTTCCACCAGCGCTGGTACTAGTTGTGGAAGCAGATAAGGAGCGCGGAAAAGCACTGGGCGGACCTGCACCGGGACGCTTCAGGGGTGTCGGCGTGGTGGAGAGCATATTCGAAGTAGAATTTGAATTCGAGATTGGTTTGGCGGGCTTGACAGTCGTGCAACCGCTCGCATCACTTGTAATAGACAGCGCACGCGTTTTGAGAGAAGCGCGTGTCGTAGTGGAGTTTGATGTCGTGCGCGACAATGACAAACGTGAGCGCGTCGACGTTTCTGATGGCGCCGGCATTCTAGTTCAGTGGCTTGTCACTGTTGTCAGTTAAAGCAACCACAAAGTAATGCTCGCGTTCTTCCCACGTTACGCGTGCCCCAAGTGTGAATGATCACGTGACACATCCACGGTGTGCTTCCGGTCCATGATGATCATAAGATTCATAACGATCATTTAACCCAACCGGAATTTGCAGGTACTTTGGCACCAGGACCCGGAAGTATAGCAGAGTATACATGGGCTTGTCTTGTTATTGCCAAAAAGCCAACCTCAAACCCACGTCCGGACTCCGTGGTGGCGAAGAGAACGTTCCTAATGTAGTACTATGGGCCTACTAACGACAATGGATACCCCATGAGCGAACCCGACATCAGCTTTTATTGCCTGATGCATTTCGTGGGCCTTTTTCCGATAGAGAATCAATTCGATCTACAGTCAGTTTCTAGGGTGCGGTAACGGTAGGCTTTGAGGTGACTAGATTCTTTAGAGAAGTGAACCCAAAAGATGCTGGGAGCATGCTCGTGCAAGTATCGAGCTCCAGATCCAAAGATAGCAAACATCGCAATTCGAGACGGCATCACCTCCAACCAGCTCAAACTATGGCCAAAGAAGAACAGGCGCGAACCAATCCGATGCGCCAAATGTCAATACTACGGTCACATCGCACGCGAATGCATCTCGCACGGAGATACCTGCGCAAATTGCGGGAACAACCACCGCACCAGTGACTGCCCATCAAGGAACAAAAGCTATTGCACATCATGTGAAACAGATGATCACGCAAGTTGGAACCGCGACTGCCCGTCCTTCAAGAAGAAATGCGACGACACCGACAAACGCTATCCCGAAAACTCCATGCCTTTCTTCCCAACTGACGAAGAATGGACCCACGTCACTGCGCCCCCCAAACCAGCACCCTATCGAAAGCCCCCTCCACCTCCAAGCAACCAGCCGCCTAATCTCACACAATGGACACTAGATTCATTCCCAATCAGACCAAGTCAAGGAACCAGACACAAACGCGAAGCAGAACACCCCCCAAGAGGACCCATCACCAATCAATCATCCCCCCGATATAGTCAACCACCACGACAATCCCAATCCCAGAACTTCTTCAGCAATCTAGACTTCACGGCGGCGGCCAACCACGATACCTCTGGATGGAATGACTGATACACCCAACAACTCCGTAACCCGACTACGTATCTGGCAACAAAACCTTAACACCTCCCCTGACGCCCAGCACTGCGTACTCAGTGGACCCACAACTGCCCGTGACTGGGATATCGTAGCAATACAAGAACCCACGATCGACACCAAGGGAAACACAAGAGCCACGTCAGACTGGCATGTAGTATATCCATCTCACCGTTACTCACACAACAAACGCTCGCGAGCAGTAACACTTGTTAATAAACGTATAGACACTAACAATTGGCGTCAACTTGCCTTCCCCTCCGCAGATATAGTTGTCATCCAACTCCACGGAGACTTCGGCAAACTAACCATATTTAATATCTATAACGACGGCATCAAACAGGACTCCCCCCCGGCAATCCAGCAATACCTCGAGGCAAACATCCAAACAGTACGACCAACGGCGGACGACCACGTCATATGGCTAGGAGACCTCAACTGCCACCATCCTCTCTGGGAGGAAGAAAGAAACCACCACCTCTTCGACTCGCGAGACGCCCAAACCAAGGCCCAAGCCTGGATAGAACTTATGGCGGAGTATGGTATGTGCCAAGCGCTTCCTAAAGACAAACCGACCCTGGAATCCTCAAATTCCGGCAACTGGACACGCCCCGACAATGTACTCTGCTCCGACAACACGCTGGACTCATTCATCACCTGCGATACGGCTCCCCGGCTCCGAGCCCCGAAGACTGACCATGTACCCATCTTAAGCACACTAGATCTCCAAGTCCCTCAAGCCACAATGACCACCCGCTTCAACTACCGAGAAACGGACTGGGAGAAGTTCAGCGCTCAACTCCAGGAACGGCCACAGAAGATCCCACCTCCAACTATTCTTACCAACATAGATGACTTCCAAGCCGCGGCGAAAGCGCTATCATCTACCCTTCAAGAAACCGTCGAGGAGAACGTACCTAAATCCAGACCGAATCCCCACGCAAAGCAGTGGTGGACGCGAGAGATTTCAGAGATGCTCAAGGAGAAACACAAGCTGAGTGCAACTTCATATAAGTATCGAGCAGTGAGAGATCACCCTTCACACGAGGAACACAGGAAATTCCGCAATAAAGTATCCGACACCATCCAGCACGCCAAAAAGGAACATTGGACGCAATTCCTGGAAGAAGCCACCCAGCGAGAGATCTGGACAGCGAACAGATACGTCACGACACCAAGTAGCGACGGCAGCAAGGCACGGATACCAGTACTACAATCCAGAAACGCCGACGGCTCATCAACAGAAGCAGTAACCAACGACGAGAAGAGTACAATCCTCGCCAAAGCTTTCTTTCCTCCTGCCCCAGCTACCACTAACGTTCCAGTTGACTACGCTTACCCAGAACCCGTCACCCCCTTCAAGACCATCAGCGAAGATGATGTTCGACACGCCATCATGAACACCAGCCCGTATAAGGCCCCAGGACCCGACAATATATGTAACATAGTGTTTAAACGAAATGCCTCCACTCTCATCCCTTATCTAACTCACCTGTTCAACGCCGTCTTTACACTCCATACCTACTTCGAACCATGGAAGGAATTCACCACTGTCGTACTACGGAAACCAGGCAAGGCGGATTACTCGGTCCCGAAGGCATATCGACCGATAGCACTCATCAACACGACATGCAAAATCCTCACCGCAATCGTCACCCATCAAGTAACCCACATACTCGAAAAGTACCAACTCCTGCCGGTAAACCACTTCGGAGGTCGCCCTGGACGCTCGACAACGGATTCAGTACACTTACTCGAGGCAACGATAAAAGACGCTTGGCGCACGAAAAAGGTAGCATCAGTACTTTTTCTAGATATAGAAGGGGCCTTCCCCAATGCAGTGACCGAAAGACTCATTCACAACATGAAGAAACGCCAACTCCCTCCCGAACTCGTCGACTTCACCAAACGGATGCTTACTGGAAGACGCACTCAGCTCAAATTCGACGACTTCACATCTGATTGGTTCCCGGTAGACAATGGGATCGGCCAAGGCGACCCCCTATCAATGATATGCTACTTAATCTACAACTCCGATCTCGTGGACGTGGCCAAAGGACGCATAGGACGAGGACGCGAAGAAATCGCTCTCGCTTTCGTGGACGACACAGCCTATATAGCAGTAGCTAACACCTTCGCAGAGACACATGACATGTTGAAAAACATGCTAGAACGAGAAGACGGCGGCTTTCAATGGTCGAAGGACCATAATTCAAAATTCGAGACGTCGAAATTCGCGCTAATGGACTTCACTCGTAGCAAGAACAAGGAACGAAGATCCATCACCCTCAACGGCACTACCATCCAACCTTCTCACCATACACGATTTCTAGGTATCATCGTCGATCAAGAACTCACATGGCGGGAACACGCAGCTTACGCGATCGCAAAGGGTACTGAATACGTTCTACAGATCCGCCGACTCTCCAGATCCGCCATGGGCATCCCCACCAAGCTTATGCGCCAGTTATATCAAGCCGTCGCCATCCCTAAATTCACATACGGCGCCGACATCTGGTTCAGACCCCTCTTCAAAAGTAGCACTGGCGAAATGCAGAAAGGTTCCAAAGGTATTGCTGATCGACTAACTACAGTACAACGAATAGCGGCTATAAGCATCACGGGAGCCATGCGAACTGCCCCGACCGACATCCTCGAAGCTCACGCGAATCTCCTCCCGATCCCCATCCTCATGCAAAAGATCTGTCATCGCGCTACAGTCCGATTAGCATCGCTCCCGCAAACCCACCCGTTACACAAGAAACTCACCTGGATAGCCGACCATAACGTCCGGAGTCACCGCTCATCATTACACAACCTCCTCCACACATACCGCATCTTTCCAGGCGACATAGAGACCATCGATCCCGTCAAAACTGCTAACAAGTCAGCATCCAAAAGCGCCTACCAAACACGCATAGCCAAAACCAAGCAAGACGCAATACGAGAGCAGGCCAACCTCGAAGACGTCATCCAAGTCTTTACAGACGGCTCGGGCTATCAGGGAGGTATAGGAGCAGCAGCGATACTGATCAGACATGAACAGGAACCGCGCACCCTAAGATATCATCTAGGAAACGATGAAGACCACACGGTACACGAAGGCGAACTGATCGGACTCACCCTAGCGGCGCAGCTACTGGCCACGGAAAGAAACATCGTCTACCCAGCCTCCATCCTAGTCGACAATCAAGCAGTGATCCAGACGGGCGAAGTCATGAACAAAACGGGGAGTGGTTTCATAGCGGACAACTTCGAACAGATGACACGACGATTAGCAAAACGACACGAAGCGCAAGGCGATTTCAGACTTACGGTAAGATGGATACCAGGACACGTAAACGTCGCAGGGAACGAATTAGCGGATCAAGCGGCCAAGGAAGCAGCACAGAGTGAAGACAACAACAGTCCAACGCGCCTCCTCCCCAAGTACCTATGAGGGCACCACCTGCAACGCAGCGCATCAGCAATCAAGGCGACACAGAAAACAAAATCGAGGGACCAATGGAAAGTCTTATGGGAGAAGTCCCCCCGGTACGCCAGGATGCGCGACATCGATCCGTCAATGCCCTCAGAAAGATTCATCACGCTCGTCAACGGACACAAGTCCCTGTAGGTATAATGCATTAAGTCTGCTTATCACAAGACATGAGTATTGCATTAACTATGCTCGTTGGCATGTTGAGTGATGCATCAGATCACGCTAACTAGCAGACCTACAGTAGTTAGCCTAGCATATTGTATAGTAGCCGGTTAGATTTCCAGTGCAGTCTTCGGCCACTTAAGGGCTTCAACATTCAATGAAAGCCGGTGACATTGATCAATAATGTATGTAAGGGACAATGATGTATGTAAGGTACACTACGCAGAAGCTCCAGAAGACCCGATCCATCACGAACCATAGATTGGCAGGCACAACGCAGAAGCTAGGGGCTAGGGAATATCGGGTATGGTGAGGTCAGGTAACGACAGTTCAGACAGCTGAGATGGCGGGTTGATGGGGAGGGCTTGTGGGAGGGCATGCAGTGAAAGATAAGGTGACCACAGTATGCGAAAATCGTCTGCCATCCTGCGACGGAGGTTAGCCTGTCGGACAGCATATGCATACAACCCTTCAGCGTGCGTGGCACACTCTCCAACACGCCGCTTTCCTTGATCTTCCCACCACGCTGCCTGCCAGGCAAAAAACTGAAGCACTCTGCGCATCTCTTCCCTCAACAACTCCACCTCTTCTGACCAGCGCAGTGCCCTCGCACGGCTTTTACACCACTCGATGCGGACACCTTGCAGCACATCAGCTTGCGCAAATATGGATTAAATAAAAACACTGACCATCATTATCACCTTCGTCACTGCAATCAACGCCATCCATCATCCAGATCCAAGATACTTGACGTCTCCCTTCACCAGTAGCGAACGGATCCACGAGGGGCTTGATGTCATTATCCGCCAGCTCCTGCAACCTCCCCTGCCAGTCTTTCTTCCCCATTGCTGTAGCTAGGGCCTTGAGCGCCACCCATGTCGACCGGTATCGCTTCACGCACGCAGTGCGCCTTCCATGGACCCGAGCGAGAGCATTCTGAGCTCGCGTGTTTGCGCCTTGACCCCGGATCCATTCTCGTTTGAATGACAGCAGAGAGCAATGAATCCGCAAGCACTGACGGATCTCTTCGAGTGTGTCGTGAGCTTGAGCGTAGCGCAACTCCCACTCATCATTTTGCAGGCATGGATCACATGGTTTGTCTCTCAGCTGGGAAGGTAGCCAAAGCTTCATGCATTCGGCATTCTCTTGAACTTCACGCACTGCATGATTGATAATGCTTTGGACAGCGGGGAGGTAGAGGACTTGGGCGCGTCTCCACGTGTCGATGTTGCGCCGTAGCGAGTTCCGCATTCGCACGATGCTGCTTTTTTGTGTATCAGTAGCATGGATACCTAAGGATTCCACAGCAATGGTCAAACGACGCCTGAAAATCATTAGCGCATTCATGACAATACGAGGGACATTACATACTGCTCCTCTTCGAGGTCGATGCCAGCGGCGATGAGCACACTACGTGATATTTCCGGATGTAAAGACGTGTCGATGCCCCGCCGAAGTTCCTCGGCCTCCAACTCAGCAAGCTTAAGCCGTGCACTTGCTTGCGTGATGGCTAAATGATTGTTAGTACGAGGCTCGTAGAATAAAATACCGCACTCACATGTAGCTTTAGCCTCGAGCGGATTAAAAACAGTTGTGTCATTGGGATTGACCTCCCAAACCTCCATTTCTGCCAACCACGCAGAACGGTGGTCGGGAGTGATAGCGGTGTCGAATTCTTCGAATGCCATTTTGTGTTCGGCCCTCTCAGCAAGGGTGTCCTTGATCTTGAGGAGGAGAGAGGCGCCCAACCCAACTGTTTTCTTCCAGTTCCAATCCCCAAAATGGTCGTCCAGGGTGTCACAACGGCAGCCAGGGCCCATAGCCTTCGTACTCGAGGCCACGGGGTTAATATTTGACCACCCTCTCTCTGGGGCCTCACCATCTGTGCGGCCGACGAAACGCGTAAAGTTGAACGAGAAAAGTGTTTGACACTTTGCGATATGTGCGGGGAGATGAAACTTTGGCACGAAAAATCGAATCACCTTTGTGAGGTAGTCCAAACTGTGGGATTGAGGAAATGATTTCATCCGCGCCCAGAGGTTCTTGTGCCATTGGCACGCGATGTCGTACGAAACATTTAACATTTGGAGTTGTGTACTGCGTAAGGTCGAAAAAAACAGATAGTCCATGTTGAGGTATCTGTGTGAATGCGTGATGAGACACGACACCGACAAGCAAAGACAATAACATACTTTTCACCTTTCTGTAAATCTCCGACTCCGTTTGGTCGTTTCATGTTATGACGGGCGCAATCGATCGTGCCCACACCTGTAGCTGCGAGCCCTTGTGACAGCTTCGTATCAGCCATGTTGACGGCATTGTGATTTGAACATGAGCTTTTCTGCAGGGTGGTGTGAATAAGCATGGGCTCGGGTTAATATCATCAACCACGTACCTCCTGCTCATCTCCGAGGTGTTGGGCCAGGAAGGTCTTGTATCCTTTTTCTTCCACGAAATACGCCCAGCCTTTTGAAAGGCTGGGGTCTACATCTTCATTCGAAACATCGCGTCTCTTCAATCGAAAATTCGCGTCTATTGCAACAAAAATTGCATATAGCCACCTTAACACGTTAGCCTTTAATTGAAACCATTGAGTTCCCGCCACATACCGTTTGGCTTTCCCGACATCTTGCCAACCGTCAGGCAGATTCTTGCCCGGCTGTGGGCATGCTGGACATAGAATAGCACACTCTCCGGGCGATGTAGCTTTAACACCGGCTGGGTTGACCACGACCAAAGCGCTTCACCATCTTCAGGTGGCGCCATTCGCGCACCATTCTCATAAATGCTTCATAGCGGTCCTAAATCTGAAGGTCAGCATTGTAGAACATCTGAGATAATAAAGAGCACCCACTGCCTTACGATTTGACAAGCCCGTATTATCTGTCAAGCGAACGAGTGTATGATAGAACTCGTACGCAGATGCCTTCGACTCAAATGAAAGGATATGATACTGTCGTAGTACTCGAAAGGTCGCTGCGGTCCTGGGGTCAGTTGAGGTGGACGGGAACCATCGATTTCGGAGTAGTTGCTTCGTATGTGTTTGCGCAGTCTCGCAACCACAAAAGTCGAGTCCAACCTGGTGTATACCGTCCGTATCCATGATAACGAAGTCATCATTGAAGGCTTTATGGGGAAGGATACAGCGCTGGCCAATAGGATGTCCGAGTTGAATACGAAGGCCTAGCTTCTTGAGTGACGTCCTCTGGAAACACACACCAGTCCACTCGTCGATGCGATGGGTGGGCAAGCACAAATGGTTAGTGACAGTGCAGCCGTGACAGTACATTTGTGAATCATCACAGCTCTCGCATCGAACCAATGCAGGAGCAGTACCACAGCCGCACACATATTGCCAGCATCCCCCGACCATCGAGCCGGATCATCTCCGCAAGATAGCTTTCGCGCTCGTCTAACCAAGTGAGAAGGGGGTGGTCCTATGCCGAAATCAAAATGTTAACAAATGTGACGGTGATAAGACTTACACCAGCTGTCCGCTTCCGCGTCTGCAGCAAATCCATATCGTTGGTGACGACTCCATAATCCATATCGTTGGTGACGACTCCATCCATGGCATCCATGGTGAAGAAATCATTGGGCTCCAAAAAGTTAAAGGACGTATCCTCATGCTCTGCAGGTGAGGTGCTCAGGACAGCAGCAGCCGAACTCTGTCCAATGACATGCCGGCCCGACACATGCATCGTTCCATCTCGACGTGCAGCAAATGTGACCGAGGCATGCACAGGCTTCTGGGGCTCCAAGGTGGACGTCGGTGTATACACGTTTAATCTGGGACGTTTACGGCTGTTGACTTGTGAAAAGGTCCAAGGCAAAGTAACTGCCTGGATTGCTCTGGGAGATTGGCACTGAGAGGTGTCATCTAGTGAATAGCGTCAGATATAGTTCATGAGCAGCCAACATGTGCTTACCTTGGGCAGAGGCCATCTAGGATGTTATGTGGACGCTGCCAACAGTGAACACACGCAGGAGGGTGAGCTTGATAATCTGTAGAATAGTCTTATTAGGGAGAACAACAAACAAAATCAACCCATACAGACAAGAATGCGGAGTGATGCAAACTTTGCAAAGGTAATGGGAGGAACAGGTGAAGCGCGTAATGCAAAGAGTAATGCACCTGTAATGCACGTGTAATGCACTGTAAGGTAATGCACATGTAATGCAAAGTGTAATGCATGTGAAATGCATGTGTAATGTACATGCTGGCTTGCGTGATGTGATCTGCATGCATGGGAAGAGCCGGTAAACTCAGATCGAACTGCAACGAATGAGCTGCAACGCACTGGGTGGCTTTTCCATGACTCGATATAGACGGCATTCCCAGTACAAAAGCCAGAATTGTGTATACAGGTGAGTCCCAATTTTCAATATTAATTCTCCGCCTACTATTTACACCCAACGATGACCTCCACAAGCACGATAGATGCTGTGCCTGCGGCGCCCATTGCTGGTGGTAATGGTACTGGCAATTGTACTGGTAAGCAAAAGTGTCCTCAAGTGCGCTCTAATCCTGACCATATATTCTACAGATAGTCTTGCTGCGCTCTTGGCGCAATTGAACATCACTGGGAAGCAGGCATCCGATGTGACCTCCACGATCCACGGCGTGGTGCAGAACGCATTGGTCGCTGCTGTTTCTGCCATCAGCACTGTTTCCACCACTACCACCTCAGTTCCACTCACACCAGCGCCAACTCCAGTTCCGGTGTCTGCCCCATCTGTCACCATCTCTCCTGCAACGTCAGGTGTCACTGTGCCACCTGTGTCAGCGCCCATACCACCTACAGCCTCAGCTCCACTCACACCAGCGCCAACTCCAGTTCCAGTGCCTGCCCCAGCTGTCACCGTCTCTCCCGCGACGTCAGGCGTCACCCAGCCTCAGGTCAATGTGACCTACGACATACCTCCAAACGATGCTATGGGACCCTTCTATTGGGTGACTCGTGGACGCCGCATTGGCATCTTCTCCACTTGGTAATTAATTTGCATCGTTTTATTTTCAAATTAACACTTACTGACTAGTGATTCACCAACAGGCAGCAGACTTCTTCCCATGTTATTGGCGTGAGCAGGGCCTCGTTTTCTAAGGTGCGCTCAGTAGCCGAAGGCATCCAGTTGATGGAAGCGGCAATCGACCGCGGTGAAACGGAGATATTGCCCTAATGTATGCATTGTATGTAACATGTTTCTTGAAGCCTTCCAAGTTGTTTCTACTGTGTGCAATATGATCGCGCTTGGCTGCCATGAATTTCAGTGTGAATTTTGATGAGAAATAAGGAGTGACAATGAGTGGCATCGTTGAACGGCGTTTTGACACACTTCGAGGTTCTATGTAAGCTCAGATCCGCGCGTTCGACGCTACTCATACCAGCCTCAACCTACCTTCCATTGCGACCATCTTCCTACGCTCCGCGGAAATAATGGGTGCCACCAGTGTCAAGTTCTTCACTAGAGCCCGTTCGATGGATCATGTCCCGCTGCCTTGGGAGGCGAGATACGCGGACTGGGAGTCACTAGATATGACGCGGACTGGGAGTCACTAGAGAAGGCGCACAATACCATGTATGAATGGTACCAGAAGTGCTCGAGGGGGTGTTTAGTTTCAGTGCGAATCTCATTGAGAACAAGACTGTATAGACTAGACTCAGCGAGAAGTGCCGGTTTTGCTAAATCCGCGGCCTAGTTGATGTCCTAGGGTATTGTAAATCTATCATAAATCTCCAACCCAGTACTAAATCTCCAACTCACAGTGAACTCGTAGAGTAGTCATGGGCCGTCCTCGATTGCACAAAACTCAAGAAGAGAGTACTGAAGCTGCACGCATTTCCAGACGGAAATACTATCAGAGGTGCGTAAATATCCACTTGGTCTGAATTGTAGTAACAAACCTCATACAGGAATAAGGAACGATGTAATGCTGCTAAGCAGAGTTACGCAATTCACTCAAGAAGAGCAACACAGATGAGTCCGTACAAATTTCTTCAATGAATGTATTCAGACCTCACTGATCACTGACTTATGTCTTACTGTAGAGTAGTCATGGGCCGTCCTCAATTGCATAAAACTCAAGAAGAGCGTACTGAAGCTGCACGCGCATCCAGACGGCAATACTATC